ACGTGTGTACTCAGGTGGCACTGGACAACTTTACTTGGATCCCTGGGTTTGACTGCAGGCATCATATTTAACAAAGAAGGAGATCACATTTTAGGAAAGAAAAGTCCCGCTTCTGGGGATGGACTGGTCTAGTTTCACCAAAAGAGCCAGGAATACTTACAATAGACGTGGCACTGGTGGAGATAACTTCAAAAGAAAAGGAGGCAGAGGAGAAAGAGGAGGAGGAGGAGGAGGAGGAGGAGAAGAAGAAGAAGAGGTGGAAGAAGAAAGGGGGAGGGGGAGACTCATTTGCTATGGATACTGCACCTGTCTGAGGCGACTCCTTCACACACACACATTCTTCTTTGAAGTCCTTCACTGTCCCTTGAACTACTCTGAAATAGCTCAAACTGTAGTTCTGTTTTACAAAGTAACAAAAAGAGATCTGGCAAGCACCCCGATCACAGGTAGGGTGGGTCACCCCTGCCCCTTCTCCACTAAGTTCCCTGTAAATGGCAGAGGGTGGGCGCCGGACAGCGGCCTTGGGCAGCTGACCGCCGCCAGCTCCTGGTCATCTCCACTCCTCCCTGCCCGACACATGCACCGCTCAACTCTCACGCTTCTGTTAACCGCACAGGGTCCCCGACTTCTGTCTCCCACATTTTGACATCCAAAGTAGGGGGGGGGGGCACTGGAGCTGAGCCGCGGGCCGGAACCCCCGGGACGCCTGCGCTCTCGGCTGCCACCTATCGGCCGCCGGGGCGCTCGTTTCGCCCCGGGCCCATCATGTCTGCTGCAGCTTGGCTGGCACCGGCGGCGCGACCATCGTAAACAAGTGCCCCACCGGACGGGGCCCGGCACCCGTTACAGAGCCCGCGTCTCAAGAGCCCCCCCCTCCCCGGGCGATGCTTACCGAGTGGCCCTCTCCTGGATCCCCGCGAGAGAAGACGCGACTTTCTTTGAGTTTCTCCGAGCCGCCGGGCGCGCAGGACCCGCCGCCACAGGCTTAGAAGAAGGACGAAGCTGTTCCCGGAGTGGGGAGGGGGCGGCGGCGGGAACGGGGGGGGGGGGAGAAGAGTTCCGAATCCTGACGACCGCACGCGCCGCGTGTGGGGAAAGGATGGAGAAAACCAGCCCGCACGCAGCCGGAGCCGCGCCATAGCGCCCAGGATGCGGGAACCGTCCACGTACTAATTAGGGGGTCGCCGAGGCGGTGGCGGCGACGGCGGG